CACCGTCGTTTCCAGCATCCTTGAAACCTTTAAGACAACGCTACTCTATGATTTCGGTTCTCGCTAAATAATTGGAGAAGTACTGAAATGAAAACCTGTGTCCAGAGGGTAGATCTTTGTGCATCTCCAACAATGAGCTCTTAATAGCTGAAATTAAATTCTGCGATTTAGTCTAGAGGAAAATTAAATACCCAAGTATATTTAGTAAGGCAGTCCTGAAATATCAAAATCCATTCAGCACCAAGAATGCATTCACTTGAATTCAGTGCCACAGAACTGAGCAGAAACTCATTGCTGCTCATGCAGGAATTTTCCTCAAGGACACACTAATGCAGGCACATCCATGGAGCCAACTGCTGAGTACTGCTATCCCTTACAGCTCCCCAATACAGCCAGCCAATTCCTCCCATGCTGAGGGCTGGCCAACCCACACCTCCAGCTCACCCTGCTCCTGCTGAGTGCATGAGTCCCTGCAATGCCTCCTGAGCTGGGGGCAATGTGGGTTTCCCTTTGCATTTCAGCAGAATAGCCACCGTGTCCATCCAGCAGCCAGGTCTGTATAACTTTAGGCCTGACGAGAATGCTGCAAGCCAACTGTGATGCTTGCAATTTTCTGAGTAGTTTGGTCTAAAATTAAGTGTCATAGAGTAATTTGTGTCTGGCTCTGCCACAATTTCCACAGCCATAATTATTTCAGACACACTATAATACAGCAATATAACATGCAATCCAGAATAATAAATATCTCCGAGCTTGATCATTACTCCAAAAACAGACCAAAGAGAAAGCATATTTTATAGGGGTGGTCCGTCTGCAGGACTTAAGGAGAGCAGCATCCACCAGAAGACACTGCAGGTTCCCCAGGGGCTGCTGATGGGCAGATACTCAGAATTCATTCAGTGCCACACTCCCCATACCTTAAAAACAGTCATTTTGCTCAGGTCAAAAAAGCGCTCCAGCCACACAACCCCCAGGAGAAGAAAGCCAATAACTCAGAGAAGAAGCCCAAATCTAAATTTCCTCACCAATTAGTCCTCCAACTGCAGCACGGATTTACTCTCTCAGCCCCTCTCAATGTGTTGTCCTCATTTCACACCATTATAGCATGCCCAGCTCCAGCCCCAGAGCTGAGCATCCCACAGGCAGCACAGGATGCTCTGAGGATGAAAGGAAAGCCTGGTGCTCAGTGCAGAGTCCCAGGAGAAAAAATAAATTTATTATGCATAATACCCTGGCATCAGTCAGGAGATAAAATAAACTCCAGGAGTGCATACAGGTTTGTAAGCTAATGTATAAAAGATGAAACAAATCAGGAGCCCGAAGCGCTGAGCATTTGGATCCATCTTCTTTGGACTTAAATGGAAAAGGAGACCTTAGGCTTCAGGAGGTATGTTTGTAATAACCCACAGAATATTGCAACTTTTTACTCTAAATTTCTTTAATTCCCACTCAAACTTTTTATTTCTCAACTACTGTAGAGACACGACGTTCTGATGGGAGCATGAGCC